TCACTGGATTGTCTGGTCCAGACTCGATTATTTTAGCGACCGCCGCCATATAGCTGGAATATTGCTTAGTGTGGTGTAAAACCCAACTCACTCACCTCACTCGTGACCAATGAACAACTGGTTTGTCACGAGTCCCGCCTTGACAGACACGTGAATATCTATCACCAAGTCATGTCAGTTAAGCATACAATGTTTGTGTGGCAGGAATGTTGCCCTCGAAACTTGGTGTGTATCTACCCGCGACGCTCTATGAAGTTCATCCACAATGTATGCGTTTATCTGCGGTCAATTTGATAGACACAAATCAAACTCATACATGAAAGAGAGGAATATTCTTGAAACTTAATTTTACCTCTCAGCTCACCTAAATAAAACAATGGCATGACATTCGCATTTTCATCCTTTTGTAAACTGCCAGAGACATATCCTAGTTAGTAAAGTTGATGGTACATTGACAGGAAAACATTAATGAAACCACTCATACTCACCAATATCAAATCCAAAGCATATTCATGACATATAGACATTAAAATATTCAACACAACAACTCTGAGCTAGCAGGGCAGTTGTTACATGTGGCAGGGTGTTTGAAGGACAGATGATAAGCAGTTTCGCATTTGGAACAAATACAGTCTTTGTTAAACCATACCCATGGTAAAGTCCAAACTCCACTTTAGTGAGTCAATATGGGGGCATGCCATTTTGTTTCTGGCTCATCACAAGCAAGCAACTTATTGTCCAAAACTGAACTATGTTTTTAATAAGGCAAGCGGTGATGTCTATTTACTGATATCTCTTACCGAAATCTATATAAATGTCTTAATGAAATAAAGTATTATGTGCTTTTATAAATGTTAGTCAGGCCTTAGCTAGTGTTTGGAGAAATAGATTGTGGGTTAAATTATTGAAAGTAATATTAGTAAAACATGTTTAAAATATACTTTCCAATGTATCAGCAAAGTTTATCCTGTGTAATTTGGGTAATTAATTCTATATCACCACTCTCAGAGTATAATTATTCCGCTCTAATGTTGGCGTTAGACAGGGAGAAAAATCTATCCCCTTCTTGTTTGCTCTCCATCGTGATTACTTCGCTTATGTGACAATTGTGTAAATGGGTTTTGTATTGTACATAGATTTATTGAGGAACAGCTTGGCATGTATATAACATTATTAGCATTATTATATGCAGAACACACTCTTTTTATCAGGAAGTGCTGACAATTTGATATTAAGCTTAGACAATTTTCAAAAATATTGCACATAGTGGAAACTTAAAGCTGTTTTAGATAAACCAAAATGGTAATATTTTCTAAAGGCTATGTACAAAACAAATTTAGACGTACACTTTTTGACGAGGAAATTGCAATTGTCCGAGTCTAGTTATACTTGGGAATTATACTTTACAGGAATTTACGAACTTACGCTGCTTTTAGCAATATTCCAGCAATATCGCGGTGGGTGGACACCAGAAATGGGCTTCACATATTGTACACATGTAGGGAATGGAACCCGGGTCTTTAGCGTTACGAGACAAACGCCTTAGCCATTAGGCTACCCCACCGCCCCCAATTTAGTTACAAACGGACTGAGATAAGTTGCCAATCACGGAGATTTGGAGTTTAACTTCATGCAGCCTGTTATATAAATCAATTATCTACAAAGTCAGAACACACCGATCTCCCGACAACCTCCAACATGGACCAGAGATTACACAGAAGCATCCCCGAACACTCCCAATGACGTCAATTCGTTTTACAGAGTTGCGTCCCTTACTCGAACCAAGATCCGAGATCGACTATACCATGATCCATATTTTGTTAGCACAACACTTTGTGTTTAACGATTTCACTGCAGTTGTAAACCACAATAAGCATACACGTTGTGACATAAGAAGTACGAGATTACTGTCCACGTACACAGCTACGTGGAGGTTACAACAGACAGCGTTATCCCCACGGTAATGTTTCATATATCTTGAATATTAACATATATTTTGTTTTAATTTACATGAAATACTGTTCAAAACGCGTAAACAAAACCCACCTTCTTTAAAAGTAATATTTGTATGAGATATTCTGACACATATTCGATTAGACACCCAAGTAGTCATACCAGATGTTCGAGTAACCTATGGAGTGCACTCACGTGTCGATTCAGTGTAGACGATGATTTTACACGTAGATATAGTATGACCAGAAATTAATGAGAATTTTAGGTATATGTTTACTTGGATTTCTAGTATAAACAACCTTGACCAGCTATCAAGGTGCTTGGTTTCATTCAAGAAAGACAACTCCGTTAATCCTTTTCATTAGTTTGTGAAGAGTTATCTTCCTTTGTTTACTTGCTAGCAGACGACATTTTCAGTGATCCTCAGTATGGATGATTTAGAGAAGAGGAAGTTGATTTTAGAGTATTATAACAAGGGACATCAGATCAGCTAAAGTGAATTCAAATTAGAACAGGCATCCCTTTGTACACTTTTATCGTGTTTTGTAAAATATTGCAAATGGATATGGCATTGAGCACCAGGGGGCGCAGGTAGTCGCAAAACGTGACTGTCGGTGACAGGAGGCGGCTTGGTATTCTTGTTTCTAAAAAACAAATGAAGGAGTTTAGAAAACGTAAGGCTGGATATGATTGATAGAGGAACTGTGGCTGTCTGTAAGGAGACAATTGGAGAACTGAGCTTCATGCAATGGGTTGGCAGAAAAGTGGAGGAATTCCATCACCGATCATAAAACCTGAACAAAAGGAGCGAATAGTGAACTGGTGGATAGACATTGTAACTGGGACAATGTGATTTTCTCAGATGAAAGTTCTGTGTGGCTGTTTCCTATAACACTGAAATTCTGGACCAAACAAACTGAAAAACCTAATAGAAAAATCTCAATTCACCTATGCTTGTCTTTTTTTGAAGAGTGTATATCATGAGACAAACCTGACTTCCTTAGCGAAACGGAGAGAAATTTCTAAATTAACATTATTTTACAAAATGGTAAAACCATATGGTTCCTGACTATCTTTGTGATCTTGCACCAGGGAATGTTTCTGATAACAGTAACTACAATCTTAGGAATAATGAAAAACTATCAGACTCTAAGATGCAAATCTACTAATTATGCCAAATCGTTTTTGCCCGATACAATTAAACTGTGGAATGACCTACCTACAAATGCGACAAACGCCCCTCTGTTGGACAGTTTAAGAATTTAATCACACCACAAGTTAATACCAACACAATGTTCGATCTAAATTTTGGTAGTCGATTCTCTCAAATAATACACTGCCGCCTTAGATTGGGATGCAGTGACTTAAATAGTGATAAGTATAATCGTTTCATTTCTGATAATGCTTCTTGTTCCTGCTCACAAGATTATGAGGATGTATTCCACAGCCACATAAAGAAACTGTGCATTGTCAAAATATTATCCCAGTTGATAAGTACGATAACAATGTCAAAGGTACATATAAACTTTAATGGAGGGATCATGAGACCATAACAAGTCGGGAGAATTTCAATTGAAAAGTCAATCACAATGACGTCACGAGTCCACAAGCGGGACAGGGTCAAACGACCATGTCACAAGCTCAATAACGGGTATGTCCACCATCGGCATTGAGAACAGCAGTGCATCGACGACGCATAGAGCCTATCAAACGTGCAAGGAAGGCTTGTGGGATGTCACGCCAGATTCTCTCAAGTTCTGTTGCAAGGTCAAGGACGTTATCTGGCGGATGAGGAAGACGGCGTAGACGTCGATCCATCTCGTCCCAAACATGCTCTATCGGGGAGAGATCCGGTGAATTTGCAGGCCAAGGCAGTAAGTCAACGTTGTGGTGTTGCAAGAAATCCATAGCAACCCTTGCCGTATGAGGGCGGGCATTGTCCTGTTGGAATGTTAACCCAGGGCCATGACGTTGCAGAAAAGGAATTGCCACAGGTCGAAGAATCTGATCCCTGTAGCCCACACCAGTTGTTGCCCTGAACAATCACCAAAGGAGTTCTTTGGCGTGCTGTTATTCCACCCCAAATCATCACGGAACCACCACCAAAGCGATTCCTCTCCAAGACACAGGCCTGTGCATAACGTTCTCCCACGCGTCTATAGGCACGTTGACGTCCATCACTATGGGAAATGTTAAACCTGGACTCATCTGTAAAAAAAACATTTCTCCACCAAAACAAGGGTCTGCGGACATGATTTCGGCACCACATTCGGCGAGCTTGTCGATGACGTTGTGTCAGGATAGGCCGTATGGCGGGACGTCGTGGTCTGATCCCGTGATGACGTAAACGTTGTCGAACTGTGTTGGGGTGGATACGGCGAAGTCCTGATGGTTCGGGCAGTCATCACTGCAGTCTGAAACCTGTGGCGAAGATGGGTCACCCTTTATCCATCTGTCCTGTCTTGGCGTTGTTACACGTGGACGTCCAGAACGTGGCCGATCGATGACGTCATTTGTGTTCTGGTAGCGTCTCACCAGTGCAGAAATGGTGTTCCGGTGGCAGTGGAAATGTGCAGCCACTTGTCGTTGAGACATTCCCCCACGGACCATCCCAATGGCCTCATGACGTTGTGCAGACGTGAGCCTTGGCATGCTATGCGTTTCAATAGCCGTTTAATTTTTTGAACGATCGCAAGGGCAGGGGTTGAGCTTTCCAAAGTGACAGTATTGTGTGGCATTCATTTGCTCTGTTTCTCTTCCCGGAATGCACGTGCAACAACGTATTGCACGTCTCAAGGACGAACCCACTGACGTCACGGAACGTGGCACGTGCATGCATGTTGGATACATGTCACTAATCTCTGAGTTTAAATCCTTATGTGTCTACACAGGTTTGATAAATTTAGATTTTAAATTTTGTATGCACAGTTTCTTTATGTGCCTAGTATACTTGACAACGGTACAAGAATCTGTATCGAAACGTCGCACTCACGAATATAAAGAAGTTGTTATCAGTAAAGTTTGTTCATTATAGACTTTGTTTTGAGTGAGTAAGTTGGTGAGTGAGTTTAGAGAGTAGTTTTATCTCATTCTTCATTACTTACTGCATATCTATGCATTCTTCCAGCACTACTGCACACACGAGCTTGGACATGCTCTCGGATTTCCTCACGAACACAAGAGCTACAAGCGAGTTGGATACGTCCGTCCCAATTTCCAAAACGTTAACCCTTGTGAGTAACTTCCGAGTAGATTAGTGTACTGCAAGACGCATTTTACTATGGGTTAGAAGTCTGGTCCAGTCGGCTTGCTGGTTAACTTTATACATCAGGATTTCACCCACGGATGCTGGGCATATTTTTATACAATCGGCTGCTGCGGAGGACAGGTGAAAGAATAATCAGAATTAATGACATAATATGTTGTGATGTACATCATACTGGCCAGGACGAATGAAACTAGCCGATCACATTCTTATATCGCAGCCATATTCCCCAGGCGAATCAGGTGTAGGATCCAAACAATACACATATCACAATGTAATTTTACATTCCACAGCTCTACATACGTCATCCTGTGCTCTACCCACCTGTTTGCCACTCATCGGTGACATCTGAATATCAATTGTTACGGTTCACTTGTCACACGATTTATGCTAAATGTTTTGTGTTTCCACAGCAGACTGGGGTATATACCGACAGCATAGTCCCAAAAGTACTGTAGACCTGCGATATGACATGACCAGCCATATGCATTACAACCCCACAGCAAGTGTGTACACAACTCAGCTCCTTACTGAAAGGCTTCCTTTAACATGTCCAGCCAGGTGCTAGGTAGTCAGCGTGAGATTATGGGCAGTCCACCGACACTTCAGTTGCTGTAAAGAGTCACGTGTCCAGCCAGGTGCTAGGTAGTCAGCGTGAGATTATGTGCAGTCTACAGACACTTCCGTTGCTGTAAACAGACACGTGTCCAGCTAGGGTGCTAGGTAGTCAGCGTGAGATTGGCGGGCAGTCTACCGACACTTCAGTTGCTGTAAGAGTCACGTGTCCAGCAAGGTGCTAGGTAGTCAGCGTGAGATTATGGGCAGTCCACAGACGCTCACTGTCAGTATCCGCGCTGTCAACGAATACACTGTTGCTTGTGTGGTGGTCCAGTGGTTACGGTGGTCGCTCGTCACACCGAGAGCACAGGTTCAACGCCCTTATAGGCGGCACAGTACAGGTTAATGAATAAAGTCTGCACTTGCGCAAGTGCTTTCGACCACGTGGCTGTCCGTTTCTATGCACTCCTCCTCGTAACAAATAGTGAAGTGTGTCAATATTTTAATGATAGTTTAATGACAACTTTTTTTATTTCTAGGATATACTTTCTGCAAAACCCTCACAGAGTTGGTCCGACGTTTTGATAATGATATTTTCGAGTTAGATTGCGATTCATCTGTCCACTTTTGAGTCAAACGGACTGTAGCTACCCTGATGGTCAGGTAAAGATTCTAAATAACATATCAATTGGGAGGTGAAGTACTGGAAGTTTTACATTCATGTTCATATTCAACGTTATTTGATTCTTTCCAGGGTTTCTCCAATAATGGCTGGTACACCCAGACCGTGCGTTCTGAGACCTTCAACCTATGCTACAGAACAGGGGCAACGTGTACTACTCCTGGCACGCCCTCGCCCACGCCTACAGCTGCATCGGGTAGCGTCCCATGCGTGACCTCGGGTCACGGTTAACCCAGGTGGCCAACACTGTGCACTGGTAAAGCATCAGAAATATCCGAAACTACTCGAGAGAAGAATGGTTGATGTAGTGGATTATCGCGAGTAAACTGAATTGTTAATGGATATGGTGGGTATGCTAAACAGAAAGACTGCAGTTACCCCTTCCAGTGGTAATAATGTTGACAAGGAGGAGTGAGTATGGTTTAGCAATATTCCAGCAATAACATAACAGAAATAGTCTTGATAAGGACTGCTGATAAGGAAACATGATGGTAACATATAGGTATCCAATGCATACATGAAATACAGAGTGTTCAAATGGTTTGTAGAAGTAAAGTCTGTCGCTGAGAACGTTTATGAAGCGCGTATTGCAACAATGAAATCTCGATGGCGATCCTGGATCAGTGGATGTGTATGACTTTAAACCATTTTTAAGCAGTATGCCAACCAAGGCATCGACGGACATCACACACATGGTATGGGGTGATCCTGCCATGGCACTGAATACTGTTCCATCTCTGTTTCATCACGATAAGATTCTGCGAAGTGTCAATTTAAACTGCAACTTTACATGCCTCCTACATGTTCAACTTGGGAACATGGCTCTGTCGCATGCTTAGCATAGCCACATGGCAAATGTCGGCTACCGACAACACATGTAGATCGTGCACATCTGAAATCAACTGCTAAACAATCACAATGCAATCCCCCCGCTTTCCGTTTCATCTCCTGAATGCCATTGCATTACATGTATACGGCTATCAGTATAACAACTTTTTGTTCAATATTCATGCCTCTTTAATTTCTTCCAAAGCAACATTTAGATGTCTAGTGTAGTTTGTTCTGTTCGTGCTGCTGTTCAGAGGAGAGGTGTCCAAATGGGGCGGCTGTGACGTGCGTCAACGACGGCTTCGTCTCCTACATCGACAACAGCATCTGCGCATGTATCTGCCCGCCTGGCCTGGATCCCGCCAAAGGCCAGCCTCTGACGTCATAAAACAGGGTGAGCGGAAGGAAGGGCAGCTGTGACGTCATACGACAGATGAGCAGGGAATCAATGGCTACTGTCACATCTTAAGGCAGGCAATTGTGGAATGAAGGGTAGCTGTGACGTTATACGACAGGTGAGTAGGGATTCAATGGCTGCTGTGACGCCATACGACAGTGAGCAGGGAATCAATAGCTACTGTCACATCATAAGGCAGGCAATTGTTGAATGAAGGGCAGCTGTGACGTTATACGACAGGTGAGTAGGGATTCAATGGCTGCTGTGACGTCATACGACAGATGAGCAGGGAATCAATGGCTACTGTCACATCATAAGGCAGGCAATTGTTGGATGAAGGGTAGCTGTGACGTTATACGACAGATGAGCAGGGATTCAATGGCTGCTATGACGTCATACGACAAGTGAGCAAGGAATCAATGGCTACAGTCACATCATAAAGCGCAGACGAAGTTGTGGAGTGAAGGTAGCTGTGACGTTATACGACAGGTGAGTAGGAACTCAGTGGCTGCTGTGACGTCATAAAGCAGGACTAACGAGTTGTACTACTGTGTGTGACGTCTCAGTAGGCTGCCGTCAAGGTGATCACTTCTCATCGCATTTGTTTATCACCTCCGATGCCGATAATAGAAGGAGGACAAATAGCAGTGATGTAATTATACATATGGAAGCCAGGATAATGTTAACCACGTATTGTAACAACCTTAGGCCTGGAATAGTAGTACTTGGGCTGAGGCTGATTTCACCAATTGTATTAACACAACAGGTGGATACTGATTTTGTCTGCTTTAAAAAACTCTCATCAAGGGTAAATCATTACTGTCTCCTTTTCCCAAATGTAGGTTGTGTAGATACATTTGTTTTAATAAAATAGAAGTTACCTAGGAAATAGATCACAAAAAGTTGTCATTAATGGATATTGCTCTGATCATAAAACTCTACTCGCTGGCGTCCCCAAAGGTTCCGTCTTGGGACCACTCCTCTTCATTGTGTACATCAACGATATGGTAGATGGAATGGAAAGTCCCATTCGTCTCTTTGCGGATGACACCTCAATATATGTGATTGTAGATGATCACAATGTTGCCGCAGCTTGTCTCGATGGTGATCTAAACCGAATCTCAAACTGGGCAGAAAAGTGGCAGGTTAATAACTTTAACCCTAATAAAACAGAAACAGTAAAAGTTTCTCGCAGGCATAAAACTGATGGGATTCAGACGTTAAACACGAATCAAACGCCGATACAAGAATTCCAAAATCAATGCACAAGTCATATTGAAGATATTGTTGAAAACGTCAGTCCCATATGATAAACTGCCTTCGAGATTTCAAATATCGCCTTTCCAGGAAAACGCCTGAAAACATGTACAAGTCATTCGTGATTCCGATATTTACTGTTGCCATGTTTGGGATAACTGTACGACTGATCAATCACTTCTCCTTGAACGGTTAGATGCACTCCGTACTATATGTGGCGCGGTTCGCGGAACTAGTCATGAAATATTACATCTTGAAACTAATTTTAAACCATTAAAAGAAAGAAGGCGTGACATCAAATTGGTAAACTTTTACAAAATGAATAACAATCTCGCCCCAGGCTACTTGTAGTGACCTTGAACCTAAAACTGTCTCTGACAATAGTCAATACAATCTCAGGAACAATCCCAACTTACAAACAATAAACTGCACGATAAAAACATGAAAAATCATTCCTACCATACACAATTAAAAGTTGGATTTGGTTACCTGACGACGTAGCGAATGCTAATACAATAGGCAAATTTAAACTCTGTTAATAAAAAGATGAATCCAATAATTACCTTGACCTGAATTATGGTAGTCGACTTTGTCAGATTGTAATACAGTCGTCTCAAGCTCGGCTGCAGCGATCTAAATGCGGATAAAGTCAACAGATAGATATCAACTAATGCTGAATGCGTTTGTGGATACCACAATGAAAACGTTATTCATAATCTCTTTACATGTAAATTATATACTTGCCATTAGAAACAATGCATACTTATATGTAAATGGTCACAGCCTCCAAACTGTGTTATACGAAACACCGCCGCCTACCAACAAAGAAAAATAAGAATATTATAGAATCTCTCCACCAATTCATTTGCAAGACTAAACGTTTCGAAGAGTCTTAACCAAATAATAAATAAGAATTGTCTTAACAAAAAGTAATGAAACGTAACTGCAAGCGTGTTGTTAATTACAATTCTCAATGCACATACGATGTTAAGATTTTAGTATATTTCATTTTGTCTATTTCATTCTATCTTCTTGCCTAGTTCTTGTGTGTTCTGTTTGTGTTATATTTGTACTGGTGAGGTATTCGTAAAAGCAATGCTTTGCTTGTTTACCAAACCAGATTCTTTGATGAATAAAAATATGTTTAAACCATAAAAAAAGATCAGACGCGATGGCCAAATGTTATATTGTTATTTACAAAAAACATAACATTTACATCACTTTATTTGCAGTTTCACTGCACAGGTGGTATGAACTGTATTCGTCTTGTTGCTTTTATCCAATTACACAAACAACCACTCCAGGTACCACTGCCATGGTCTCATTTCAGATGTAAGCTGAAAAAAGACTATGGCAGCTTTCAAGGTGTTTAAGACTGAAGTAAAACAATATTAGATATTTACTACATGTCCTTCACGACTTACGTTTGTGCCTGCGTGCCATGTTGTATACCTGTGGAAGCTCTGAACATTTATGATCTGAGGTCATATTTGTTATAAAACTGACCGGCAAAAGAATGTATACCAAAAGTTACCATTTCTCAAATTTTAAAGAAATATTTTTGTAGGTAAATTATACACTGAAACATGTCGCCCCAACGTAGCAATTTCATACCTGCAATGAAACTCACGTGCACGTCGTGAATAAAATGTCGAAGTGGTAAATTGTATAAACCATGATTTTGGGTATGTGTCAGGGTTCCGCATGCACTTAGGGTATAACAGTTAGTGTGCGGACAGGTTACACATGCAGTTTGAAAAAGAACACCACCGATATGCCACGACTATCAGCAGTTGAACGTGAGAGGGCTATAGGCATGCTCGAGATGGGGTCGAAACACGCCAATGTTGTAAAAACCTTCGGCTGCACCCGTGTAGCCGTCTCTAGACTGCTGCAACGTTACAGGCAGACGGACCAGACAGGGGACAGACCGAGAAGTGGGATACCGCGAGTAACAACTCCAGCTGAAGACCGGCATTTCAGGACGTTACACCTGACAAACCGTTTTCTGACGGTAACGTCATCAGCGGCGAATTTCCTTGATCACTATGTCAGTCGATACACGGTGGCTAGATGTCTTCGGGCAGCAGGTATCAGAGCCTACAGACCCTTCAAGTAACATCTCTTGACCCCTGAACACAGACGTCACTGATTGCGTTGGGCCCGAGATGTCCGTCGTTGGCAGCGACGAGAGGAACAACGTGAACGTTCTACAGTGGCCAGCACGTTCTCCAGACATGTCCCCGATCGAGCACATGTGGAATGCACTAGACAGACGCGTCCGGAAACGCCCTAACCCACCACAGAATAGACAGCAACTTGCACAAGCCCTCCAGGAAGATTGGCGTCGCACGTGACCTTGTTCGACGTCTGATGTCTTCGGCTAGAAAGAGGCTGCGTGCCTGTATTGATGCAAGGGGTGGACATACAGGATACTACAATGAAGGTAGTGAACATTTATTGTGTATAACTCAGAACCTGCTTATGTTCCATGTGATTGAACACTGGTTTTCAGTACCCCTAGTGAACTTGCGCATGTTAGACGCCACGTGTTTCTGTAGTAAGCATGTACTATTTAGCTCAGGTTGAGTAAAGATGTTGTTAACACTACTGCATTATGTTTTGTGTGTTTAGGTATTCTGGGTCAATGATAAGTGTTTTGTAGGTGTGCAGTGGGAATGTGGAGACTATTTCAGTCATTCCAGTCCAAGGTTGTCTTAATACTGTATGTGTCCTCCGCAGTGCCCGCCCCCACCAAATGGCCCGGGGGCACATACGCCCTGCCGTCCCCAGCTGACGGGTGCCCCGGGGACGTGTTCCTGGAGGGGTCTGTACAACACACCAGTGACGGGGGCAGCACACAGAGCGACATCGTGCACGTGAAGGGGGAGTTCACAGCCAGCAGCTTCAAGTACCACTTCTGTGTGAAGGATACTTCCACCAGCACTGACGCTGACACAGCTGAATGGGGACCAGGCAGATACTGTATACTGAAGAAAGGAGACTGTCCTACTGGTAAGTTTATAGCCAGGCAGATACTGTATACTGAAGAAAGGAGACTGTCCTGGTACTGGTAAGTGTATAGCCAGAGAGATACTGTATGCTGAAGAAAGGAGACTGTCCTACTGGTAAGTGTATAGCCAGGCAGATACTGTATACTGAAGAAAGGAGACTGTCCTACTGGTAGGTTTATAGCCAGGCAGATACTGTATACTGAAGAAAGGAGACTGTCCTACTGGTAAGTTTATAGCCAGGCAGATACTGTATACTGAAGAATAGAGACTGTCCTACTGGTAAGTTTATAGCCAGGCAGATACTGTATACTGAAGAATAGAGACTGTCCTACTGGTAAGTTTATAGCCAGACAGATACTGTATACTGAAGACAGGAGACTGTCCTACTGGTAAGTGCTACGGACGTTATTATGGCGTTAGTCTGCTCTAGTCAAACTGCCATGACATCACACATACACTATATAGAAATATGAAAGACTCGAGTCATACCTTACTGTTTTCGAGTAGAGTTTATGGATTGATCTATTTAACTTTGGATTATTTATACATTCTACAATTTATAACAAGGTCATTTTGGGTTCATCAACAGGTGTGGCATCATTTCGGAGATTTCACCAAAGTAGTAAACGTACATACATAGCTTTCTAGCTCAGTCAGACACAGATAGTTTATCTACTTGACAAAAGCTAGTCCACAATGATACTTTCACACTGGCTCTTTCAGGTTTTGAAAGTGGATACATCAAGTTTGACAACCTTGCCGAGACCACCACAACTACATCTGGATCCGTGCCCGACGGTGTCTATGATGCAGACACTCAGTTTGATTTCTGTTGCCGTGACGATGGCTACCCCATCGTCCCACTGAAACTCCCCAACACTAAACCCTTCATCTTGTTCCGTCACAATGGAGAATCCGATGCCTGTCAAGAAGTTGATGGTAAGAGAGAGTATGAGACTGAGGAATATTTCTTCACTCTTCAAATCAATCATCGCGAAGAACTGTTTGATCGGCATTCTAGAAGTTGGTGAATCAAGAATGAAACATACAACTTTATTAATGACAACTTCTTGTTTATTGCATCTATATAAATTCTTACATGAATGTTTCCAATTCTCATTGCGAAGAAAAATAATACGAATGTTGATTTGTTAATTCATTAAACCTTCTCTACAAAGGAGTAATTGTCATTGTAAAAGACTCCACGAAAATGCCATGAAACAGAAATATAAAGCAGGCTGCTCCTACAACTTGTGACGATCATGTGCCGTGTGTGTAAACGTCCCTACTTCAGTCAGCGCTGAAGCTGGAGACTCTCAGTCTGCAGTTTGTGACCCTCTATATGTCAAAACGTGATGACAACTTTGCAAATTTACGTTGAGAAAACGATTTACGTTGAGGAAACGTTATGCTTTGGACTCCTCACGACGTTATAGCAACGTTTCTTTTAACTTGGTATCACGATAATTTTCTGTTAAACATTTCACTTTGAGACTCTTTCTTCACTATTCAGCTACAGTTTCAGAAAACACACAAAACAACATGCAAATTGACGAAAAACATTGAAGTGAATTTCTACTTTGTTTCTTATGTACTGTTCAACGTAAAGTACTTTAGCATCAAATAACTTTACCTTGTGGCGACGTACATATGACGTATGACAACGTCAGGTCACAATGGGAGTCCATTGCGAATAACGTTGTAACAACGACAGCGTTATGTGATGTGGCAACGTTGTGACAACGTGAAATTGTAAGCTGGGTGGTGACGAGAGTGGTTCAGTGATGAGTCACTTCTCCAATTCTTTGCCAGAAGACAGCGTTTGAACGTTTTCCAAATGAACGTTTGGCACCGATCTGCGCTCGGAGACAGAGTCGGCGGAGGAGTTTGCTGGTGCGGGGAGCTATATCCTACACTTGTTGGCAATTCCTGGGAATCTCACAGCACATTTGCACATCGACCAATATCGTGAAACCTCACCTTCTCCTAATTATCAGCTGGGAGAGGGAGTTGGTTTTAATCTGACAACACCACACTAGACACAAATTCTGTCACTGGTGACTTCCATGATGATTCAAGGCCATCTAGATCCCGGATCCGAGCACAACAGAGCATCTGTGGCACGAGCATCGTTAGACCTGTACGTCAACATGCATCATGGACACTTGCCACAGCTGATCGAATGTTGGAGAAAAATGGAGAGGAATTCCAAGGGACAGAATCCGGAGATTTATTCAGTCTGTACCTCGGCGTAGAGCATTGACAACAGTACACGATGGTGACATCAGGCACTGATCACACGCCTCCCCCGCCCTGAAGCTACTTGTCTTGTGACAGGACAGTCATCATCATTACTGTCTTATATCCACAGGATGTCTCCCCCGCCCTGAAGCTACTTGTCTTGTGACAGGACAGTCATCATCATTACTGTCTTATATCCACAGGATGCCTCCCCCGCCCTGAAGCTACTTTGTCTTGTGGCAGGACAGTCATCATCATTACTGTCTTATATCTACAGGATGCCTCCCCCGCCCTGAAGCTACTTGTCTTGTGACAGGACAGTCATCATCATTACTGTCTTATATCTACAGGATGCCTCCCCGCCCTGAAGCCCTGACTTTGTCTTGTGGCAGGACAGTCATCATCATTACTGTCTTATATCCACAGGATGCCTCCCCGCCCTGAAGCTACTTGTCTTGTGACAGGACAGTCATCATCATTACTGTCTTATATCCACAGGATGCCTCCCCCGCCCTGAAGCTACTTGTCTTGTGGACAGGACAGTCATCATCATTACTGTCTTATATCCACAGGATGCCTCCCCCTGCCCTGAAGCTACTTGTCTTGTGACAGGACAGTCATCATCATTACTGTCTTATATCCACAGGATGCCTCCCCGCCCTGAAGCTGCTTGTCTTGTGACAGGACAGTCATCATCATTACTGTCTTATATCCACAGGATGCCTCCCCGCCCTGAAGCTACTTGTCTTGTGACAGGACAGTCATCATCATTACTGTCTTATATCCACAGGATGCCTCCCCCGCCCTGAAGCTACTTGTCTTGTGACAGGACAGTCATCATCATTACTGTCTTATATCCACAGGATGCCTCCCCCGCCCTGAAGCTACTTGTCTTGTGACAGGACAGTCATCATCATTACTGTCTTATATCCACAGGATGCCTCCCCCGCCCTGAAGCTACTTGTCTTGTGACAGGACAGTCATCATCATTACTGTCTTATATCCACAGGATGCCTCCCCCGCCCTGAAGCTACTTGTCTTGTGACAGGACAGTCATCATCATTACTGTCTTATATCCACAGGATGCCTCCCCGCCCTGAAGCTACTTGTCTTGTGACAGGACAGTCATCATCATTACTGTCTTATATCCACAGGATGCCTCCCCCCCCGCCCTGAAGCTACTTGTCTTGTGACAGGACAGTCATCATCATTACTGTCTTATATCCACAGGATGTCTCCCCGCCCTGAAGCTACTTGTCTTGTGACAGGACAGTCATCATCATTACTGTCTTATATCCACAGGATGCCTCCCCGCCCTGAAGCTACTTGTCTTGTGACAGGACAGTCATCATCATTACTGTCTTATATCCACAGGATGCCTCCCCGCCCTGAAGCTACTTGTCTTGTGACAGGACAGTCATCATCATTACTGTCTTATATCTACAGGATGCCTCCCCGCCCTGAAGCTACTTGTCTTGTGACAGGACAGTCATCATCATTACTGTCTTATATCCACAGGATGCCTCCCCGCCCTGAAGCTACTTGTCTTGTGACAGGACAGTCATCATCATTACTGTCTTATATCCACAGGATGCCTCCCCCGCCCTGAGGCTACTTGTCTTGTGACAGGACAGTCATCATCATTACTGTCTTATATCTACAGGATGTCTCCCCGCCCTGAAGCTACTTGTCTTGTGACAGGACAGTCATCATCATTACTGTCTTATATCCACAGGATGCCTCCCCGCCCTGGAAGCTACTTGTCTTGTGACAGGACAGTCATCATCATTACTGTCTTATATCCACAGGATGCCTCCCCGCCCTGAGGCTACTTGTCTTGTGACAGGACAGTCATCATCATTACTGTCTTATATCCACAGGATGCCTCCCCGCCCTGAAGCTACTTGTCTTGTGACAGGACAGTCATCATCATTACTGTCTTATATCCACAGGATGTCTCCCCGCCCTGAGGCTACTTGTCTTGTGACAGGACAGTCATCATCATTACTGTCTTATATCTACAGGATGTCTCCCCGCCCTGAAGCTACTTGTCTTGTGACAGGACAGTCATCATCATTACTGTCTTATATCCACAGGATGTCTCCCCGCCCTGAAGCTGCTTGTCTTGTGACAGGACAGTCATCATCATTACTGTCTTATATCCACAGGATGCCTCCCCGCCCTGAAGCTACTTGTCTTGTGACAGGACAGTCATCATCATTACTGTCTTATATCCACAGGATGCCTCCCCGCCCTGAAGCTACTTGTCTTGTGACAGGACAGTCATCATCATTACTGTCTTATATCCACAGGATGCCTCCCCGCCCTGAGGCTACTTGTCTTGTGACAGGACAGTCATCATCATTACTGTCTTATATCTACAGGATGCCTCCCCGCCCTGAAGCTACTTGTCTTGTGGCAGGACAGTCATCATCATTACTGTCTTATATCCACAGGATGCCTCCCCGCCCTGAAGCTACTTGTCTTGTGACAGGACAGTCATCATCATTACTGTCTTATATCCACAGGATGCCTCCCCGCCCTGAAGCTACTTGTCTTGTGACAGGACAGTCATCATCATTACTGTCTTATATCTACAGGATGTCTCCCCCGCCCTGAAGCTACTTGTCTTGTGGCAGGACAGTCATCATCATTACTGTCTTATATCTACAGGATGTCTCCCCCGCCCTGAAGCTACTTGTCTTGTGGCAGGACAGTCATCATCATTACTGTCTTATATCCACAGGATGCCTCCCCCGCCCTGAAGCTACTTGTCTTGTGACAGGACAGTCATCATCATTATTGTCTTATATCCACAGGATGTCTCCCCGCCCTAAAGCTACTTGTCTTGTGACAGGACAGTCATCATCATTATTGTCTTATATCCACAGGATGTCTCCCCGCCCTGAGGCTACTTGTCTTGTGACAGGACAGTCATCATCATTACTGTCTTATATCCACAGGATGCCTCCCCGCCCTGAAGCTACTTGTCTTGTGACAGGACAGTCATCATCATTACTGTCTTATATCCACAGGATGTCTCCCCGCCCTGAAGCTACTTGTCTTGTGACAGGACAGTCATCATCATTGCTGTCTTATATCCACAGGATGTCTCCCCGCCCTGAAGCGGCTTGTCTTGTGGCAGGACAGTCATCATCATTGCTGTCTTATATCCACAGGATGCCTCCCCGCCCTGAAGCTACTTGTCTTGTGGCAGGACAGTCATCATCATTACTGTCTTATATCCACAGGATGCCTCCCCGCCCTGAAGCTACTTGTCTTGTGACAGGACAGTCATCATCATTACTGTCTTATATCCACAGGATGTCTGTCCTCACGGTTTTACAGAAATATATGACACCTACACATGTATTTGATTTGTAAATTTTTCTAGTAATATCTTTCGTGTGTGCGTGTGCCTTTCATCTTTTGAATAGTATTAGTTACACGGTGTTTTGAAAGGTGTACGGGATTGTAAGATCCTTGTGAATTCCGTATTTCCTGAGGCGAATTTATTACCTTTAAGATCTTTTCCTATAGCTTATCTTGATACAATAACATTCAATCATCAGCAAAATGAGACGCAAAACGATTCGCCATGATTTTTACCGAACGGTCGTAAAGGGAGGTAACTTAGGATGGCTTAGTTTATGATAAAATTATCGAATTTGAGTTTTGTTAAACGACAAGTGAAATGTAGAAACATTTTATTTTGTTGTTGATATATTTTTTTTGACACAAACAAATAAGAAATTATGGCAACAATTTTATTCTCTTCTTATGCTCCTAACTGAATACGCCAACTGAATAAGCCACATTCTATCTAAGGTCAAGGTCATTCGTATAACCCGTGTAGTGTGTCACATGACAGATTTGACGGGGTGTATGGTTCATACACCGTGGCAAATCCGCCTGCATGGTTTCGTATGCTTTGGCTATTAACCAATCAGAATTCCAAAGGGTAACAATTTGATGTAGCTGGTTCAACAATTACTAAAGTATTGATTACCAGATTGATTTTCCTGGGAAGTGATCTTGTCCCTGCCAGACGTCGGATAAATGTGCAAGCAGAATTAGTGTTCATCAATGTCAAAGATGACGTAGCTCACAGAAAGCTAATAACCAGTCTGTAAGTGATGTAATGCAGTAGCTGCTATGTTTTGATACTGAATGACAACAGCAGATATATTGTAAGTGTGCTACTGTGAAATGTGTGGGTTACTGAAATGAGGAGTTTTTATTGGTGGGGAGAACTGCACTCGTAGTAAACATGTCACCCATTAGGACAGAACAATCGTGTCCAGTCTGATTCGCAATGCTGATTGGTCAATAGATAATGTCTTCATGTTAATCTGAAACAATACTATGCCCTTCAATGGATGACATTGTTTCTTCCTGCAGGGATGCTGGCATTCCGGGAATACCTTACCTTTGACGACGACAATGAAGGCCAGTCCGCCTACAGCCCCAAGTTTCTGTCAAAGAAATTCATTTACTGCTACTATGTTCCTGCAAACAATGAAATTACACAATGTTTTGGGGTATCAGTTTTCTCAGCTATTTCATGAAACAACTTACACAATGTACAATTTTGGGTATCAGTTTTCTCAGATCAATGTTTTTTCTCCAAATTATATAGTATTCGTGTTCCAGTATGTACAATGTCTGTTACTACCCCACAGACTCTGGAGGTAAAATAGTACTGACCAGTGATGTACAATGTTTTCTTTCACTACCCCACAGACTGTGGAGGTATAATAGTATTTATAATGTACCAGTGATGTACAATGTTTTCTTCACTACCCACAGACTGTGGAGGCCTGTATACGTTGACCAAAGACAATCCTACCATGACAATAACATCCCCGGCTATCCCAGTCTGTACCCCAACAATGTGGACTGTTTCTGGATATTTACGGTAAGATCACAAGCACGTGTCGTAGGGATATATAAATACTCACCTCACTCTTCTTCATCACAAAACAAGACAACAAAAAGGAGAATAAATAGAAAGTTGCTCGTTTTCACCGTCAAAGATTAAATGTGTCCATCCCGCCAATTCCACTTTAGCCCAATAGGTACAGCTTGTTACTCTACATAATGGGTTCGAATCCAGATTGTTTCTAGGCTTGTAGCATATCTTTGATCTAACAGGTTTAAAGAGTTCCGGATTCGACTCTGCGGGTTTCCAATGTGTCTTTAATTAAATCTGGTAGCATTCACAAAACACGATATCTTTAAACAGGCACCTGAGGACTCAACTATCTTGTTGGACTTTGATGACTTCGACATCGCCACTTCAGGATCAGGATGTGAAGATGAACTCCGTGTGAGATCTGTTCTGCTGGGCGAGAACCCTTCACGTACGTTGCAGAACTACAACACTGACAAACTGTATCACACATATATAACATGGATTGTATGTTGCTAACTGTATCGAAGGTACATCGATTATGGGACTAGGTAGAGTTGCCTCCTTAGTCGTAAGCAGAAACCTATGATCAGGATTCGCCCTGATTACCATTCTCGGTTTGTCGGCACCTGTTTGTCGGTTTGTCGGCACACAGCGTTTCGTCTTTTCTCCCACACCAAGGTGAGACGCTCCGGTATAACTGAACACGTATCAACAGAAAGCAGCTTTAAACCAAAACCCTATAAAACAACTGGCCAGGAACCAGCATAAACTTGTTTACATTTCTTGTACATCTATTACATATAGCTGTCGTAACAGGAAATAGAATACAAGCAAATCTACACCGCCATTGTGATGTACTGTACATACTGTAAAGAGATATATGTACTACGTCACCTCTGCTGCCAACTACACCCTCCCTCTCCTACAGATATTGTGATGTACCGTACATACTGTAAAGAAATATATGTACTACGTCACCTCTGTTGCCAACCACACCCTCCTCTCCTACAGATATTGTGATGTACCGTACATTCTGTAAAGAAATGTATGTACTACGTCACCTCTGTTGCCAACCACACCCCTCCTCTCCCTCCCTACAGATATTGCGATGTACCGTACATACTGTAAAGAAATATATGTACTACGTCACCTCTGTTGCCAACCACACCCTCCCTCTCCTACAGATATTGTGATGTACCGTACATTCTGTAAAGAGCATATATGTACTACGTCACCTCTGTTGCCAACTACATCCTCCCTCTCCTACAGATATTGTGATGTACCGTACATACTGTAAAGAAAATATATGTACTACGTCACCTCTGTTGCCAACTACACCCCTCCCTCTCCTACAGATATTGTGATGTACCGTACATACTGTAAAGAAATATATGTACTACGTCACCTCTGTTGCCAACTACACCCTCCTCTCCTACAGATATTGTGGGGACTCCCAACACCGCAGCATCCGGACTGTACGGAAACACCCTGTCTCTCAACCTCAGGACCACCCCCGAGGGGCAGAGGAAGGGCTTCAAGGCCAAAGTCAGCCTGGTCACACGTACGTCTGTATATCTGTTTGTTTCTAATTTTGTCAGAGCAATCTATAAATAATGGAGTTGTTATCCAGTGTTTGATATCCTCATCAGCGACGGTGTCCGATGACAATACACAACCATGTAACCCAGTTAAATTATAAATACGCTGTGTTAAGAATATGTGTTGCAAGCTTGAATATTTTCTGACCTATTCCCATAAATTGGTTAGTGGCGTATGTAATCAACTTCTTTCAGGTTTCTGCTTACGAATTACTTCCTTTATGATAAATGACTGACTGACTGACTGAGTTTGGTTTTACGCCGCTTTTAGCAATATTCCAGCAACATCACGGCGGGGACACCAGGAAATGGGCTTCACACATTGTACCCATGTGGCGATTCGAACCTGGGTCTTTGGCGTGACGAGCCAACGCTTTTAACCATTAGGCTACCCCACCGCCCCTATGATAAATGAATGCCATATTAATTCAACATGGCTCTCCCTCCTCTGTTTAATAATTTCATGCTGAAATGTTTCTCTATTCTACATAGCAACTTAAAAATGCTAAGTCTTAATCCATATGTTAAGTTGTATAACCTTTATTTATCTTTTGTTTGTATACTCTCCCTCTTACCCCCTTATGTGATGCAATTGGGTGGCTTTCAGGTAACCATTTTATTTCTATCTCCTCTCATTTCTCATTTGCCCCTCAGCTTCCTCCTCCTTTCTTTCTCTCTCACACTGCTACTGTGTGCTGCGTGATTTCTCACGCACTCAGTCTGCACACATTTTATATTGTAGATATATCGACAGTATAAATGAAACAATCTATGACAATGAATGAATAATTTTATTATTCTGTCAATGAATGCTAGAGGCCTCAATCAGATATATGCTTAATTTCCTTCAAATCTAAACCATGTTCAATAGCTTTTCTCCAAGAAACCCACAGCAGTAAAATTAATTAACTTGAATGGACAGGCAGAATGGGGTTATCGTTGCCATTTCGCGCAGCATGGACAACTAATAGTTCGGGCGTGCCATACTTTTATATTAATATTTTTGAGCATGATATCCATGATATCATAAGTGATATATTACTTGATATGACAGTTGAAAACATCCGATTTTTCAAATACAAATATCTACGGTCCGAATACCGACACTCCCGGCATTTTAAATCTTTAAAATAGTCGAGATATTGATATTACTTATGTACGGCCGGTGACTGGGAACGTGGTTCAAGACTATGCTACGATAGCTATAATTACAAACACAGAAATAACCCTTTATCTAATGTAGCAATACGGGATATGAAAGAAATTTAAGAGTTAGTTGATTCGTGGAGATGCTCCACCCTGATAAAATGCAATACAGATGTCGTAAAAGCCGAACCAGCAAACAAAGTAGAAAGCTAGGACTTCTTGGCTTCCAGAAGATGCTATGTCCTTGACCAAATCTGCACTAATAGGTGTGGATTTACAAATCAGATCATCTATACATATCATTGTGGGCTCTCTCTTCCAGCTCATTGAAAAGATGATACATGGATAGTATTGAAAACTTAATAACTCAATTTCTACATGACACAGAGTATACACATTATTGGTTAGTGATGCACTATCAGCGATACCAATAATAAACGGAATCTTGCATTTCAGCATATGAGGGAATAAAGATGTAATGTCCAGACAATTTTCACATAAATGCTCAAAACTTTTTTAGATTGGAAACTATTTCTTATTCTATCAAAACTACAAAAGATCGGAAAAGAGGGCAAAACTTTTGGAGACAAAATACAAACAACTTTAAGGTCAAAATTAATAAAATCTAAATGAACATGAACAAATTATCCTAACTGATCACAAAGCCAAGATCAGAAGGTACTAGACTTTAAAAATGTGGGTATTATTTTCTAGAGGTAAAGTAAAATGAAAAATGAAGAAGGAGAGAAAAAACACTGGATAGTTTGTTAACCTAAGGAAAAGGCACTCTATAAAACAAAAGTCATGTGCGGAATTAGCCCCGGATGAAAATATTAAACATTGCTTGGAAGAATGATGCAAAGGAATCTGGGTCGAAACGTCGCATCATCCAGATAAAGTTGTTGTCCATCCTTACAGTTTGGACTCCATCTTTAAATAGCAGAATATTGACCAATAGAGGATGCGAAATAATGCATGACACGTACGCTTCTGTCAAAGTTTGTATACAAGAGTAAACCAAGATATCAAATGGGAAAGGACTGTGCTTGACATCCTTGCGGAATCAAAGCGAATTTTGTCCTTTGAACGGCGAGAAATTTGTGGCGTGCTATATGTCTATATAATGAATGCCTCCAAAGGCCTACAACACATGAAAAATGGGAAGGCAATATCTGATTAGAAGCTACACCGCAGAAGTTTATATGTACCCATTGGGGGCATATATATGCAGAATTTGCGTTTTGTTAACTATGCAGTTGTAAACATACTTCAGCCACATAAAGAAACACAACATTATCCGAATATTATCCCAGTTGATACAAAGGAAGATTACGATGTCACAATGTATAAACCGGTACATGATCGGCGGAGACCATAAATACGGTGGTAGGAGAATATCCACTGAAAAGTCAATCCCACAATGACGTCACGCGGAGTCCAAGCGGGACAGGGATGGGACTGGGCGTATATGCGGCAGCTTCAACAGGTATATCCTGCCATCAGCATTTCATTGAGAACAGCAGGTATCGGTCGACGACGCATGGAGCCTATGTCAGCTGATGCAAGGCCGGCGGCATGTCACGCCAGATTCTCTCAAGCCCTGTGTCAAGGTCATACTGGCTGACGTTATGGGGACGACGGCGTAGACGACGTCGATCCATCTGAAACGTAATACATGCTATATCGGGCGGATCTTCGCGCACCCGCAGGCCAAGGCGAGTAAGTCACCGTTGTGGTGTTGCAGAAATCCATAGCAGCCCCGCGCCGCCTTGCCTTGCCGTATGAGGGCAGGCATTGTCCTTGTTGAAACGTTAACCCAGAATGGCCACTTACGTTGTTGCAAAAGGGAATCGCTATAGGTGGAAGGATCTCAGTCCCTGCTTAGCCCATTACCGAGTTCAGTTGCCCTGAACCAATCAATTAAAGGAGTTTTGAGGCGTGCTGCCATTCCACAGGTAAATCATCACGGAACCACCACCAAGGCGTGATTCCTCCGGGGCGACGTACCCGTACGCAACGTTTTCCACGCGTCTATAGGCGCGTTGACGTCCATCACTATATATAGAATCGCTAACCATTATGGACTCTCCTCATCTAGAAGAAGTTCGTAACATTTCTCCAACAAAATAAAGCGGTCTGCGGACATGATTTCAGTAACCACATCTGGGCGAGCTTTGTCGATGACGCGGTGTCAGTTGAAACCGTATGGCGGGACAATCGTGTAGTCCCCGGTCCATTGATGACGTAAACGTTGTGGGGCTATGTTGAGGTGCATACAGAGAAGTCCTGGGATGGTTCGCTTTTGATGCATTACTACCGCCCACAGAGCCTATATATGAAGTAAAGATGGGTCACCCTTACATCTGTGTATAATATCTTATGAAAGCGTTACTATGACATGGGCTGTCCATTATGTGGCTAATCGATGACATCATTTATTATTTCTGGTAGCGTCTCACGGGTGCAAAATTGGTGTTCCTGGTGTGATCGAAAGTCGTGCAGTCACTCTGTCGTTGGACGGTATTCTCCACGGACCATCCCAATGGCCTCAAGGACGTTGTGCAGACGTGAGCCTTGGCATATAGGTCAGTAGTGAGTGCGGCAATGCGTCCGCTGTGCCGTTTAGAACAGGTCCGCACCTGTCACCCATGTTGTACTTGCATTACTTTTACATGAGATTAACTGGCTGGTTCCATGTTCACCAAAACAGCTCACGTCTATCCCCAGACAGGACCACCTCAATGGTGAAGTGCGGTTAGAAACTTCCGCCCGAAGGCATTAACGCGTACAGCATGCTGACTAGTCGGCACGGTGGAATTATGAAAATGTGTCTGAGTGGGTATTCATGCGCTGCTGCGGCATGGTATCTCAAAATTGAGCTAGCACTATAAGTTCAGCTGTCTGGTGCGAACAAGTACAAGCAACCGCGACAATTATACCCGCCACACACATACGCTGCCGTCACGCAAGCTACATATTCCCAAGCACGACTTGTGTTCCCAATTTCGCGTCAACACGTTTGAGTGAAAATGTTTCCTGGTCACTTAGTCGCCTGCAAGCCCTGAATCTCTCCCGTTTCCACCGCAACTCCTCACTTTGAGGTTGGTGCGTATTGCACTGGAGCAATCAAGAGTCGTCGTGCACCTTCCCGTAGGGGATACTCTGGGTTTGGAAAATGTCCCCAGCCACACTGGAAAGGCTAAGCTGGAATTTGAGGTCCTCAAATCCTATGAGACAGGACTCATTGCGTATCAGTCACCGTCCGATGAGCGTGGAATGCTGCAACTACCGGATTACGTGGTCCAGACCTTGAAAAGTGAAATATAGCGATCGTGGGACTTTAACAGTAGACAGCGCCTAAGTATTTTACTTTATATCTTTGGGTGTTTAGAAGAAAAATTAAGCCACGGTTCTACCATGTTTATAGGAAATTCTGTTTAGTTCTGTAATGCACACATATATTTATATATTGTCATGAGATGGGTCTGAAACTAGAAACGATGTCGGTAATGCACCATTCCCCACCATGATCATTATACGATAGAAGTATGAATAATGAATGGACAAGACAAAACATTGATTACACCAATCGTAATCAACTCGTGATGATATTTGTTGGGACAAACCGGAATAGCGAGGTTTCGAAAGAGGCGAGTGGTGACGAATGTGTGATTACACAACAGTCTCGTTTCCTGTTGACTGAGTTCCGTCCCATGCTAAACGTACAATAACCATCCAGAATTTTGAGACCGGATCCATTTAACTGGATACATACAATATTTAATCAATTATTATTTGAGTGCATCTAAGCACTTCT